TTATTGATAAAACAGAACTCAAACTGGAATATAAATATTTTCTTCAATAATTAATATAATAGTAATTGGTACATCTTTTCAATTTTAGAACTTTCAAACTGATGATGATTTCCAAGGTTCTAAGTAACATTGGGAGCTATAAAGCTAGAGCTAAAATTTTGATTTTATTTAATATGTTTGAGTTTATGTGAACATGTGTGTGCTTCAGTGTGCACTTAGGTTTGTGGATGTGCTTGTGCATGAGTGAGAATTTGGAAACCAGAGGTCAATATTTGATGTCATTTGTGGGCACGCGGGGATCTTGGAGCGCCAGCTGCTGGCGTGTCGCGGGTCTCTCGTGAGCCACTGGGGCGGGTCCCTGCTGTGCAGGTCCCTGGCTCTCCATGGCTACCAGATGCTGGCGGCTCTGCCGGCCCCTGTCAGCTGCCAGGGCAGGTTCCGTTCCAAGCTGCCGGCACTCCCTCTATGGACGGGATCCGTCGGCCACCGGATCACGAGGGGAGGTGCAAGAACGGCAAAAGCAAGATCTTCTCCAGTGGTTATTTACAAAGGGACAGCCCCCTCCGGGGAGACTGAATCGTAGGCAGTAAGACACAGGATACAGCTCAGTCAGACTCAGTGGTACAGCTCCTTTATTCAGTGATTCAGCTCAGCTCCAGATCTTAGTGATTCAGCTCTGATTTATTAGGGGGAACCAGGATATTTATAGTGTGGAGGCGGTAGCAAAAGCCTTAGTTGATAGGTGCTTTGTAGGATGCCCCATTTACATGTGGTGGTGGGCTTCCAACAGGCTGCCAGACATTGCCTGAAAAACCTGGCAGTTTCATGCCAGAGGACATGTATCTGTGACGGGTACTTCAAAGGTGAGTCAGGAAGAGAGTAGGAAGGCGCCCCACTGAGAAAGGGAGTCTCTGCATAAGAACGCCGAGGCGGCTTGCGGCTATCCAGACTTGGAGAGACTACGACCTAGAACGGCAGGGGTCCCCAACAGTCATTCTCTGTCACTGTGAACCTAACATTTTGAGATAGAGACTTTTGTTAAGGTGATGCTTGTTGATTTGGCTAGACTGACTGAAGAACCAGGTCCAGGATCTGCTGACTTCTCCTTCTCCCCTCCCCAGCACTGGAGTTACATATGTACGCCACCACATCTGGCTTTTGTGTGAATGTTAGAGAGCTAGATTAGGTCCTCCTGTGTAAACAACCAAAACTTGGCTCACTATGCCATCTCACCAGCATTTATTTAATGCTTTTATAAATCATACGTATTATCAAAAGAAAATGCTGTGATCTAGTCAGAATTTTTTAAAATTATTTATTTCATAACAAAATGATTAGAAGAGGCAATTCATTACAACAGCATTGACATATTCAATAACAATTTCCAGAGCTAAGATGCTTCTCTTTTAAAATTGGATGTAAATTATTAGGTTTAGAGTTAAATTAATACAGTTATACAACATTGTACTCCGTATAAACCCTATAAGACATAAAATTAAATGAAGTTTTAAACTTTGAAAAAGATCTCCATTTCATTGTTAAAACACAGTTTCATACAGAAAAATTCATTTTTAATACAGCTGACACTAATATGCATATGTGTTTCTTATCTCTATAGAACTGATTTTTACTAGTAACAGTTGGTTACTTTCTGAGCTCCTTAGCATCTAAGCATGGATATAAAGTCATCAGGTAGATTTCAATGGTAATGTTTTTCACATCTACTAATTATTAAGGAGCAAATATTTATGCTTTGAAGAATGTTTTTTATACACCCACTTCCCAGGTAGCACCCTCCCATAGCCTCCCTCCCCCCACTAGAGCCCTTATACTCAGATATCCCTGTTACTGTCTGATGTGTTGTTGGCACTCCCAGCCATTCCCCACTACTTGTCCTTCTGGTGAATCTAGTCAGCCTATCTAGAGGTCTTTGTTTTAGGAGGGTCAGCTGTTCCTCATCTAGCAGTAATCAGTTGTCTATATTCCTTTGGATAAGACTTGGGTCTGCTGTTCAATTTCCCAGTTCTCTGCTGGGTTACTATCTGGGAATCCCTTTGGCCACCCTGGCCAACAACTCAGAAGGAGGTATCGCTTGTCTGGCATTGTTGCTTGCTATGTAGCCTTTAGGTATACATATGGCCTCTTATGAAATGATATTGGCCCCTTTGATCTTTGGTTATACTTTCCTTTTGGGTGTTTAAGTCCACACAGTTGTTCCAGATAAACCAATTTATTTTTACTCTTAAAGCCGTTTAAGGATCTGTTCCTCAGGGGTCATGTGGGCTTGGGAGGAGACCCTGGCTCCTTTCTTTTACCAGTTCCATCTATGTGAAGACAAGTCAAAGGTCCTGCTCAACCATGGTTGGCTTTGCTTGGAAGCATGGAGGAACTGATTCCTCTGTGTTGACCCTCCTCTTTGTAGACTGGACACTAGTTCAAGTCCATCTGGTGGAGTCTCCTCCTTGATCAAGAGGACAGGTGACCCACCACCATTACAAGACATTTTGAGAGCTGCTCATAGTCCCTTGGAACTAGTTGACCTAGGAGGGCAAGGAGCAAAAAGTGTCCTTTATGTCCCTCTGACCAAATTATTGTAGACCTTAAAGTATGTCTGTTAAATACCCAATAAGGTTAGTTCCACCACTCTGGTATTTTTAATTATTGTGTGTCATGAAGATAAATCTTAGGCAAAGATCAGTTGTTCTCAGATAGACATTACCTAGACATATATTTCTTGATCTGCTCTGTATAATTTGTCAGTAGGCTGTAGGAGTAATATGGTTCTCACTGGTTTTCAAAGCTAGCTAGGCATTGTTTATCTCTGACATTGTCTCACCCCTCCATCATGGTTTTCCCTCTTAAGGTGCCCCCATTTTCCCCCTTTCTCTGGTAATAATACCCTTCTCCTGTGGTCCTACCTCTCTTGAGCACCTTCTTTCCCTTTATCCCCTAGGTTCCTTGTATAACCTTCCCTCCCCCTCCCTTAAACCAACCCAATATTTATCCATATCTCCCTTATTAAGGCCTGTTTCCTATTGTTCTTCTCTTTCAAGTTATTTCTTTTCCTTTACCTCCCTGCTTCCTTTCCATTATCCTGGTTTCTGTAGTTATGTTTGTCCGGTTGCACACTTATTTATCAGAGTCTGGTTCTAGGATCCACATATGAGGGAGAACATATACTGATTTTTTTTTTCGGAGTCTTCACTTAGTATAAAAATTTCTAGTTCCATCCATTTACCTGCAAATTTCTTGATTTTATCTTTCTTTACTGCTGAATAAAACTCCATCATATAAATGAACCACATTTTCATTATCCACTCATCAATTGAGGGACACTTAGGTCACTTCCATCTCTTAGCTATTGTGAAAAGAGCAGCAACAAACATGGTTTGTGTTCTGCGATAGGACGAGTTCTTTGGGTATATGCCAAGGAGTAGTATAACTGGGTCAAATGGTAGGTTCATTTGTAGTTTTTTAAGAGTTCCCCACACTGTTTTCCATAGGGGTTGAAACAGTTTGCAGCCCCACCAGCAGTGGATGAGTGTTCCCCTTTCCCCACATCCTCTCCAAGATTTGGTATCATCTGTTTTCTTGATCTTAGTCAGTCTGACTGGGGTAAGGTGGAATTTCCTTACCCTAGTCAGAATTTTTTAAAGAACAAGTTATACAGAGGCAGCTGGACATAGTGTTGCACACCACTCATGAGACAGAGGCAGGTATGGTCTAATAACAAATTCAAGAGCAGCTGGTTATGCAGAAAGGCCCTGTCTCTAGAAACCAAAGGGAAAATCATACAAGATATAAAGAGAGTAAGTATATTATTCTTCTACATGGATTTATTGAATGGTCACTCAATGTCTTCACAAAGTCTAACAGAAAATAAAAGTCTGACAATGGACAAGAGCCACAGGACTTCACCCTGGCATTCTCCTCTATGTTTAGACCCTTAAATAAAGACCAAAATTTTCAGTACATTCATGCATAAAATTTCACCTAATTGTAAATAGCAAATTTTGGACTTAAGTAGGGTTATGATCTGATATGCTGGATACATATAATTTATATGAAAAAAATCTTTTAAGTGATTTTACCAGGAGATTTTATAAAACAAAATTCAAACTGATGACAAAATTCAGATTCTTTAATATCATATGAAGCATAAAATGCACATTAAATATAACTCAAGGAAGAAGCAGACAATCTTTAGGGTAATTAAAAAGCGAAATAATCTTAAAAATTACACCAACATAAGTAAATATGCTCACATCAGGCTTGTATTAAAAATAAAATAACTTTCCTTAAAGCACTAATCTTTTTGTAACCATCTGTTTAATAGTCAAACATCACTGAAGAACAGATCATACCAAATATAAATTAAATAAATATTGTTATGAAGTATATGAACCCAAATATAGTCACTGTAATATCTAATTTTGTTAAAATTAAATTAGCTGAGTGCCAAAGTTATTTCCACCCTGAATATAAAAATGCAGATATATTCCACTTCATTTTCTATAGCTAGACCACCATAACTCATTAACTGGCAAGTAAAATTGAAAAGTCACACATACGGGCCAGCAGGATGGCTCAGCAGGTAAAGATGCCCACCATCAAGCATGAAAACCTGAGTTTAATCCCCACCCCGGAATGATGAAAGGAGAAATAAATCCTGCAAGCTGTCTTCTGACCTTCACACATGCACCGCTGCACGTTTATGTGTTTCCAAACCAATAATTAAAAAATATAGTGAATTTTTAAAAATAGCACATATGACACCTCTATGAGGTGCAGGCAAGCACACCCAAATTACACCCATAACAATTCTACAACAAACAATGCATCAACAGGTCAAATGGGACAAATTTAGCTTGTAAATTGGCAAGCAAATTTGAGACATATTTTGCTGTCAAGTGAGTTCAGATGAGGTTCATTTCTTTCCACGGCTTTCTAGTAAACTCACAGGGGAGAAATTCAGCTGAAGGAAAAGAGTAATATCTTACCTTGGCACGTGAAACCTCGTTCTTCATATCCAGCGTTGCACGAGCACTTGCCAATGGGAACCAGCCATTCTCCTTCCGTACTGCAGTACATCCTTGGAGGATCCTCCTCCTTGGAGTTATTGACACATGAGCCCCTAACCTCCACCAGGGACTGGGAGTCCATGGGCACTGTGTCTGGAAACATAGCCAGATTCTTCACTGTAAATGGGCACTTCTTGAAATACACCCTCACAGATACCAAGGCAACACAAGCACCAACATCTTGAAAAGCCAAATAAAATCCCTTTTTGTTGACGGGACCTACTTCTCTAATCTCAGTGTTGAGTTTTAGAATGCGGTCCCCGAGATCCATCTGAGTGAAACTTTCATCAGCCGCAATAGTGTCAATCTTTGTAAACTGATGCTCTCGGAATTTCACGCCGTGATCATCATCAGACTCCATGTAGTACAGGTTGAAAGTTTCTTTGCAAGTTCCCAGCACCAATGGAATGCTGTTGCAGTCTCGAAGTGTGAATTTGAGCTCTACATAGATCTTCTGAGCTGAGTTCCTGGGGACCCAGTTTGTCCTCAGCCAATTATTTTGGCTGTGGTCCATGACATTGCACACCTGGTAAGTCCTGATGGGTGTGTAATGTTCGTCAACACCACTGATCTCTTCCCACTGAAGAATCGAGAGAGAGAGAGAGAGAGAGAGAGAGAGAGAGAGAGAGAGAGAATTAGTAAGGTAAACACAATGATGAGCACACAGAAGCCAAATTGTCAAGGCATCACTAAAACTGCAGAATAAAGAAGCCTAAGCCTCAGTGTTACTCACTGTAGCATATAGACCAGCTCCTCACTTTCTTGTATGTGTTCTTTATTATTTGTAGTTTCAGTGAATTCACCCGACACAAAGTAGTTCAGCATTTGAATGAGCACACTTGCCTTGAGCTTTTTTGATGCTTAGGAAAAGGTCGTTTAGCAATCCACTTTGCCTAGTCAAACATTACAGGACCCCAACCTCAAATGAATGACAAAGTTTTGCCACATTTTTAGTTTCTTTTGTCTATGTAAAAAGAAAATGAAAATTCACAACACCTGATATTCACCTATATTATTTTTCTCCCAACTTGAACCATGTTGTGGTAAATTTGATACATGATAAATTTGAGTGATTCTAAATAATGACATTATCTATATGCAAGACATTTTTAAAGGCACTCTGTCATGTCAGTGGATCTATGTTGGGGAAGTATGGGAGGAAACTGAGTAGTAAAAGCAGAAACATGTCTCACTCCTTTCCTAAGGTAAATACTTCAGGGTTACATATGAAAAGCCACAGGAAATATAGGGAGCCTTTCAGTTTAGTGCCTTTGTAGTCATGTTGGACTTGTAAAGAAGATATAATTATCTATGTTGTTACTATTACTACATTAGTTATGTGTCTACGAATAGAACTTTTCTCACCGCAAAAAAACCTTTTATGTTAAGAATGTAAAACAGCAAATTTTGTAATCCTTAGCACAAATCCTGAGAAATTTTGAATAGTATATTATTTATGCTACTTATGATCATAAAAGGATTATGGCAGCTGTTTCCAACTGTTATCTCTATATTTTATATTTTCATGTACAATTTTGTCCACTATTTCTTGTAATATGCCCTTTACTGCTCTGTTTTTTGATTCAAAGTCTTCTATGGCCCCCCAGTACCTATGCAAAAATTTTCAATCTCTATTGTTTTGAATTTGTGTTTCTTCATAAGCTGATCCCACGTACATGTTGATTTTTGTAAAAGTTCAAATATAGAGATCATTTGCCAATGGGAACTATTTTCCTGTTTCCAAGAGCCACATGAACTCTTCTGTAATTTATTCTCTTGCTTACAGTTTACCCACTATAGACTATGTTTTTCCTCTTCTATGACTTACATAATCCTATTGCTCTTAGAAATTTTGTTTATGATATCACCCTTTAAATGCCATATTTATTAGTAAGTTCACCTTGTTATATGTATTAAGATAAATTTAGTTTTGTTGCACAATAAATTTACTAGTTTTTAAGGTATTCCTATTTATAATAGTCGGTAACACAAAACTGTTGGGAATTGAATTAAACATGATCTTTTCATGTAATATATGCAGGAATAATTCATGAGTGTGAAAGAAGAAGAACTTATCTAGGCTATGGGCTATTGACAGAGTCAATAGTTCAGTGACAGAGTCTTGCCTAGCCTGTGCAAAATCCTGTGCTTGATTTGCAACTTGGAAGATAGCATTATTAGAGAATTTTTAAATGCTGTAGATTAATCCCTGCAAAGCCCATCATGATTGTGTACTTAAATTTCTTCCCACTGTTTTTCAACAAAAGAATGCTTTAAGTCTTTGTTAACTAAATCAATAATATTTGATTGACATTATTTCCATTTAGTTTATCAAAGACGTGTATCAAAGATGTGTAAGAATTCTAACTTATAACCTCTACAAAATGAGATAAAATATTAATGATGGTGGTAATCACACAAGAAAGAAATGTGGCATTTATTTCACTTTTAAGCTTTGTTATAGAAACATAAACCATTTGCCTTAGGGTATTTAAATTATCAAAAACAATTTGTGGACTTCACCAATGTAAAAAGCAAAGTTTGGAAATGTATTTCCCCTTTCCCATCTACCATATTACAAGACAATATGAATAAAAAGCACTAGTTATTTTAATGATCTTCATCCAGCATGAAGAATGAAACATGAATACTTGAATGAAACATGGATACCTATTTTCTTGTAAGAAAATTGGCTTAACTTCATTCTATGCCCCAGATAAGCCCAATGAAGAAACAAATTGGGAACATTTTAGACAGCCCTAGGAACAGTATACATGATGTATTTGAATATTAATTTAATAAAGAAAATACTCAAACTGTATTTTTAATAATTATCAATAGGGACCAGAGAGATGGCTCAGTACATAAATGTGCCTGCCATAAAGTCTGATGGCATGAGTTCAATATTCAAGAGCCATATGGCAAAAAGAGAGAACAAACTCCCCAAAGCTTTCTTCTCATCTTCAATCCCCTGAAAAGAAATAAATAGATAAATAAATGCAATTTAAAACAATAATCACCAATATCATTTTCAGATATTCATTATATTATTAAAGGTATATAAGAAAAGCATGAAGAAGCTTCTCAGTTCTAAGGATTTTACATCAAGATATAATAATAAATTCACAGTCAAAGCAAAATTAAAATATAGGTTTAATATAACGGGTAAAGAATTGTACTTGATGTTCTGACACTTTCTGGTGCTAAATATCTTTTTTTTTCTTTTTTTGAGACAGGGTCTCCCTGTAGCCCCAGCTGGCCTGGATTCGCTATGGCGACCAGGCTGGTCTCGAACTCACAGCGATCCCCCTGCCTCTGCCTCCTGAGTGCTGGGATTAAAGGCATGTGCCACCACTCCCGGCCAAATATCAATGTTTTGTGCTATTACTACATTGTCTCTACACTGTATTGTGCAGTAGAGAGAGAGAGCAAGTGTGAATTTATTCAGTGTCCATCTTACAGAAAGTTAGATTGTGACTCCGTGATTTGAGAAAAACACCAACTGGTTTCACTTTTTTTTTTTGGTCTTTTTGAGACAGGGTCTCCCTGTAGCCCAGCTGTCCTGGAACTCACTATGTAGACCAGTCTGGTCTTGAACTCACATGGACCCGCCTGCCTCTGCCTCCCGAGTTCTGGGATTAAATGAGTGTGCCACCATGCCCGGCACTGGCTTCACATTTTTTAAATCAAAACTGATTCATAAGAATAGTTTTTACTTTGATCAGTGAATTTTCCTTTACAAATATTTTTTGCTATAAGCACAAATCAGCTAAACAACAGAACACATTCTACAGAGAGTTTCATAATTTTATGATGATTTTAATTATGGAATTCTCATTGTAGTTTAACTTTGGCAAGCTATCACAAGTCCTTGAACAAGTCCTTGCAAGAATACAATGCAAGCAACACCACTGTGCTTTTCACTGCAAAGGTTACAGGGAGCAATTATCACTTCATTAATTTGTAATGAAGACCAAATTGCCTGTAAGTGATGGTAGGCTGTCATCTCCAACCATTTCTAAACAAAGACAATCTGATTCTAGCATTTGATGGGGAATAGAGACGTAGCACCAAAATTATTTAACAAATCTGCTGTTGGAATGACATGCTTTATATAAATTTCAAGAACGCTCAGCTTTGCCGTATCTCCTTACTGTCAGAACTAATGTGCAATCCTCACATATTCTTTGTAATACTATACCTCTGTGATACATGTCCTAAGGCAGACACAGAAAATGAGAGCAGGTGATATGTACAATTGATAAATGGTACTTGGCAATATCAAGCATGTTTCTTTTCATTTCCTATTCTTAAAAAAATTTATCAAAAAGGGTTGAATCATCTTGCCTTCTGGGGTCGTGTTATTCCTTTCTCCACCCATGAGTCTAACTCATGTGGTTCTCCCCCTGTACAAGCCTGCATGCACTGCAAAACCTCACTGTTCATCCTAGATGTATGTGAGTGCTGACTGAAGCAGCATTTGAAACAGGAAGATGCATCATCTCTTACAGGAAGGAGGCTACTGCTAAGTTATAGGCACAGATATGTCCACATAAATAGTTTTATTAATTTTAGTCTCAAATGTATGTAGACATGTGTAAGAAAGTATATAGGCATATAATATTTATAATAGTCTAATGCAAATATTCAAGTAATATAAAGGATTTGAAACAAATATAATTATAAAATATAATTTTCTATTTTGTATGAGATAAAGTAACATTATGCTACAGCCAAAGGATCAGAGAAAAGATGGAAAGTCAGCACTGATGACAAGATGTGAACCAGAGTCAAAGGAGAAAACTGACAGAAAGAGACATGGCTGAGAAAGCAGAGCCAGGAATGTTAGTAACAACTGCTATGTATTTGTGCCCTCACACACCTTTAAACTCTAAGCATTAAAAAGAAATTTGATAATGATATTAAAACCACCTAACTAAATATTTAACTAAACCACCTAACAGGGAGGACAAAGGCCCTATTTAGGTAAAGCATGTTGAAAAGAGCTGAAGTCGGTAAAAAAGTGAAAGGACCAGAGACTCTCAGTGAGGAAATGCAACAAAAGGTTTTAGTGAGTACATAAGTCAGGAATGGAGTGATGTAATGTCCTTGTTCAGGGTTCTCAGGGTATTGTACAGGCATTGTAATTTTCTGCAATTGTAACAGGATGCTATTAAAGATACAGGACCTCCAGACATCTTGAGTGATGGGATCCTTGGGTCCCCTGTGACCACCTGTATTGGGTTCTGTCTCTATTTTATGTAACACATCTGAGCCAGACTCACAGATTTGTCCATTTTCCTTTCCAATTCTTTAGTTTCATGAAAACTCCAGATTCAAGTAAGAACTACAGAGGTTTTAGCTCCATAGTACTATGTCCTATAATCTAGTTCCTCTTCTCCAAGCTGGGACTAAGCAGAACTATGGTGGGACCTCACAGCTCTTGCGACCCTCTGTGTCTGTCTCTTCTCTACATGAATTCTGTAGGTTTTATTTTCAATCCTAGCTAAATGTTAGCCAGACAACTTTTAAAACATATACTTGATGGTCCCTCTCATTTGTTTTTGTGGTGTTTAATAT